ATTTCTTTGTGAAGGCTGATAATCTCACCGCTAGTTTTCTTGTTTACACATCAAGTTGCAGAGCAATCCTTTCAATTCAATCCAAATACCCAGTGCAAGATGCACAGAAGTAATCAATATGTAAGTAACAACTAAGATTATCTCAAAAAATTATTACTAAGATCAATATATCTCAGTATTTCTCCATGAAAATTAGCATCTAAATCGAACAATTTCATCTAAAACCCTAGCAGCACTGATAAAAGATATTAATCACAAAACCCTAGCATTCAATCAATCCCAATCAGCAAATCGAGGAACAACGACATCACAATCAGGTCAGAGATCGAACAGATCTAAATGAAGAAAATGAACTAGGGTTAGGGTTTCTTACAAGGGAAATCAGCCTGAATGGTGCTCATGTTGCTGGGTGAAGATGAAAATTAGAACTTTAAGTTCAAATCAAAATTGGAACTGGGTGAAGATGAAACTTTGCTGGTGCAATTGCAATTTAAACTCCATTGCAATTCAGTTCTATTGAAATTGCAACTTTGCATCATAGTTTCCCAATTAACTGCAATATAGATCCAGAGATTTTACCTAGAGTTGGGAGGCTGTGCCGCGGAGGAGCCGCGGAGGTGATGGCGGCGGCGACCGAGCCCGAGAACGACGGCGGCGAAGCGGGCGTTCGAGCTCGAGAACGACGTACGAGCTCGAGGCGGCGAACGGTGACGAACGACGTACGAGCTCGAGGCGGAGAGAGGAGGCGGAGGAGGCGGACGCCGACCTAGAGACCAAAAACATAGAGGACGCGGAGGAGGCGGACACGGAGAGAGGAGGCGGAGAGAGCGGGCGTTCGGCTGGGTTTCTTGGTTCCAGCGATAGAAAGGGGGCAAATTTTTGGGGCAGGGCTGAAGTTTCTTTTTATAGGTGGGATAAATTGGGGGAAATGGGGGTATTTGTCCCAGAATTACCCCAACAAACCAATAACACCACACAGATTACCCCAGTTCCAATTACCCCAATGAATAACACCAAACATTAGTGTTCCAAAAATTATCCCATTATCCCAACAATTACCCCAACCAATAACCCCCCCTTAGCACAACGTTACATGTGGAAAGGACTTAGACAATCCATGTGCTAGCCCGACTCAAACGGTAGTCAGTAAAGGCTTATCAAATCCGTTGATGGCTGTGTGCTAGCCCGACTCAAACGGTAGTCAGTAAAGTCTTATCAAATCCGTTGATGGTTGAGGGTTTGCCAAAAATCCTATGAATGTTTGCGGGCCCATCAGCTGAATGGAGGTAAGCCGTGACGTGACGTTTGATGGCTTCTGCTCATGAGTAACTTGTACCGTCGCTACAGTTTCTGTTGGAAGCTCATCATCACATAGGTCATGCGTGGAAAATCCCTTCAAACTAAGATGTCTTTGAAGTGGGTGCAAAGAACAACTCCTTATGACAATGAATCAAAAACTCCAAGATCAGAGTTGAGATCCAAAGTATTCCGAAAATTCGTCCCAGTCAACCGCGAACTTTCGAAAACTTTGGAGGGGGTTCTGTAGGCTGTCTAAAAATCACAATAGATAGTTGATCCCCATCAAACACCGATGATGGAAGTTACAATCTGACGACTTTCAGAAGGCTACAATTTGAAGACTTTCACGTAGACTGATGAAGGTTACAATCTGACGACCTTCGCAACAACTGATGAAAGCTCTAATCAACAGCCTTCACAATCAACATCGAGAGTTATAATCTGACGACTCTCACATATCAGAGAGCTAAAGCAAAGATTACAAAATGACGATCTTTGCAACACTTCGACAGAAAGAGACTACAAATCGACGATCTCTTCAAATCAAGACGTGGAAGTCCTCCCCGCGTACCAGCATCAAGATGCGTCGTGTTCATAGCCACAAACGCAGCTCAAACGCAGCCTCCGAAAGCTGCAAACGCAGCTTCCATCTGCTGCCAAACGCAGCTTCCATCCACTGCCAAACGCAGCTTCCAAATCGATGCAAACGAAGCTCATGTTCGGCCACAAACGCAGCTTCCAACGCTGTCAACGCAGCTTCCAAATCGCTGCAAACGCAGCTCATGTTCGGCCGCAAACGCAGCATCTAACTGCTGCCAACGTAGCTTTTAACAGCTGCCAACGCAGGTTCTATCTGCTGCCTAACGCAGCTCGCAAACACTGCGTTCAAATGCAGATTTCATTCCACAATGCAGGATTTGCGTTTGACTCGTTCAAACACGAGCTGAACGGTTCCAAAACCGTTTCCCACGATCTAAGGGGATCACAACTCCACTCAGGAGTGATTTAAGGGGCGGTTACATCCCATTAGCCCCACTTAAGGAGGTGGTTACACTCCTTAATCCCCTATAAATAACTGAAAATCAATGCAGTTCAGGGGTTCGGTCTGTTGGAATTTCTTGGTAGCAACAGAAGAGATCCTGAGGCTGGATCTTTCATCCTTCTTTTGGGCAGAAAAGAAGAGATCATTGGCTTGTTTAACCAAAGACGGTTAAGATCAATCAACTCATCAAGAGTTCTAAAACTTTCCACGCAAGTTCTCCACAACGTCAAATCATGAGGAGAAGATCATGTTCCAGTGAAACAAGACGTCGGATCGTCAACGAGAAGCAAACTCGATGCGAGCAATCGAGGGAGGCATCTCATCGCCACCGTGAAGAACCCAGAATTAAACAAAGGGGAGAATCTAGATCATTCTCTTCTCTTTTGTAATCAGAAAATCCAATTGTAATTGAGAGTTGAGAGATTTGTAAACATTCTTTTTCTAAGCAGTTAGAGAGAATAAATCAAACGTAATTCTTTCATTATTTTCTTACTACAAAATTTTCTACAAACATGGAGGTTGGCGGAATTGTGGAGTGAAGCTTATGAAATTCAAGTTCAAGATCCAAGTTCAGCTTCATCCGTATAGTGTACCAAGTCAAGCTTATTGAAGATCTAGATTGCTTGGGTATATTACTTTAGATTTATATTATGTGTGTTCAATACTTTAAGCTCAATCATATACATACATACACATATTTGGTTTTATATATATATAGTCATATATATAAATACAAGTTTTGATTTTCAAGTTTAAATATGAAACAAATACATATTTATATATATACATGTTTGTTTTCATATGGTTAAGTTGTTTTGGTTTAGTTATGTAGATATGAAACAATATATATCTTCATATACACTTTTATTTGTTTCATATTCTATTGTATTTAGAAAATATTGTGTTTATAGATTGAAGACTTGTTCACACTATTTTCATATCTCGTATAATGTCTACAAATCTATTCTAAAGTGTTTCCAAGTTGTTTGAACTCTTTTTTGGAAAAATCAAGTTTTTTGTTCATGTACGTGTATGTGTCCGTGCATGTTTTTACAAAACAGATACGTTTTCACAATTAGGAAATGAGATTTGAAAATTTTCTTCGTTCACATATTTATTATCATATATACAAACATTTCCCAAAGTTTTACTAATTTTGGAGTTGTTTTGTTATTTTCAATTGAATTTACAAAACCGAGTTTTCAGTAGTTTTTTTACTAATTTTGGAGTTGTTTTGTTATTTTCAATTGAATTTACAAAACCGAGTTTTCAGTAGTTTTTCAGAAACTGTTTATCTGTTATTTTCAATTGAATTTACAAAACCGAGTTTTCAGTAGTTTTTCAGAAACTGTTTATCTGTGTTCAAATATTTATTTCTCTCAACTGGAAAGTTATTTTTCAGATATTCTTTCTCTAACATGTTCACCTATATGTCTAGAACCTTCCCTCAAAATTTCATGATTTTTGGAGTTGATTTACTAATTTTAATAGATTTTACAAAACCAGAGATGCAGAAAAATCCGATTTTTTGGGGATTTGCATCGTTTTTTGGGCTTTTCTTTGGCTTTGGGTTGTTGTCTTGAGTTCTTATAAATACCCATCATCCCTCAACACTTATAACCATCCAAGAAATGTTTTAACAAAGTTTCAACAAGGGTTTAAGTGTTGTTTAAGTTTGTTTAAGAAGCTTTTAAGAATTTGAGAGTTTGAGTTTGTGAAATCAATTTCACAAGAGCTTAAGGAGATCATCTATTGGTGTTTGGGCATCAAACTATTCTTTCTCTACCTCTTGATCTATTGAGAAGTTTTCTAAACTCTATTTCTAGCTTTACATCTATTTGTTTGATTATCATTTTATTAAAGCTAGTTTTATATTGAGTTTAGTTGATTTGATTTCACTCATTGTTTACACACACCCACTTGAGCTTTTTGTATTTATATACATAGTATATTAGGGTTGTGAGAGATTGTAACATTGAGTTGTGCTTAATTGAGTTCTCGCCTTGTATGAGAGAACAAACCAATATAAAACCCTAAAAATTACTTACTTCATACATCTCTTTGCCTTAAGAATATCACTAACTTGATCATCGAAGGAACCACTGGACAACCCGTCTCTCCGATCCTCTGACGTTCTACATTTGTGCATGAATCTTCTTTTGTTCAGAGTGATCAGCCATCAAAGATGATTGAGGGACCCTAAGTTCTCCCAAATCCACCCTAATCCTCAAAAGTAAGTTTCTGACATAAACAAAAATTGATGTAGATATATCACAATTCATTAGGATAAAATATTTAGTGCATTTGAGTTTCTGACATAAAACACTTTCTTTCCACATGCCATTATTCATCCCCTTACAAGAGCACACAGAATCACACAACAGTTTCCAAAACATCTAATTCACACACTGCTAAAATTTGAGGCATCCTAGACGGAAAATTCCGTCTAGGATACCCAGAATTCCGTCTAGGATGTGTATTCTAGACAGAATTCCGTCTAGAATACGCGTCTAGTTTATTTCCGACTAGTATGTAGTATTCTAGACGGAAATTCCGTCTAGAATACATCCTAGACGGATTATTCTAGACGGAATTTCCGTCTAGAATAATTTATCCTAGACGGAAAAAAATTCCGTCTAGAATAAGTATTCTAAATACATTCACCAAAATAGTAGAGAGATACATAAATTATTTACAAACGTTTACATAAATTATTTACAATGGCTATGACACTTCTAGGAAAGAATGTAATTCATCGATACATGATTATTAATCTATTTGAGTTCCTTTCTGTTCTTCCAGATTTGCTTTCTGTTCTTCCAGATTTGTTTGACACCATCCAACTCCTTCCAAAATGCCTCATAATAGCCAGGAATGCTGCAAAATGAAGAACGGTTATGCATAAGGCAAGGAGTTATCGAAGTAGAGTATCATATTTCTTAGTACAAGCTATTATCTAAATCATATTTTCATATGTGTATTTCTACTAGTGACTTCATTTTAGTAGCATCACAGAAACCCAACCCAAGCATGTTTTGAATTATCATGATGCACATAAAAGATAATACAAACTGAAGCCATAATTTAGTGAAAGATTATATCATATTTCCAAAAGGATACATATTTTCATGGACAATTTTATAATATCCCCATGTAAAAGAACCAATCAATAAACAGTAGAACACCATCAAAACACATGAATGCACACTAATGCATTGACAATCAGCTTTATCTGCAGTAACAAAAGGATTTTGCGAACAATAAGGGTATAATTCAGGAATGTTCAAACAACTGCATCTATACAGGACAGAAAATATATCAACAAACATGCAAATGAAAGCTATTTGTATATCAAAGTTGTATTCATGTGATCCATAAAAGGCAATAGAACAGTAATTGATGCAAAGAGTACCTCAAAATCACCTATATTGAGGTCATTCAGCAGTTCAGTCAGAACTTTAATAACCTCAAAATCAGGTTCCATTATTTCATGTTGACCAGCGATATCAAAGTCACACTGGTAGAATTCACGAAACCTCCCTTTTGATGGATTATCTCTTCTGTACACTTTAGCTATTTGGTACCTCTTCAACGCACTGATATTGTTCATTGCAAGGTATCGTGCAAATGAACCGATACCTTGTCAAATTGTTCCATCCCTAGTGACCTAGTCTTCTGGTTTTCAGTCTTTGTATTTTATTCCCTGTCATCATTTCTTCCCTGGTCAACTCCAAACTGACCTCTTACAAAACACTACTTATATGCCGAAACTAGTCACCTTTCCCAGATCTTCTACCAAATTTCAAGAGCTATTAAATACCCCCAGACCCCAAATCCAGTAATCTAGAAATCTAATATTACATTAGGGGGATACAACAAATTCCACCAGAATGTAACAGCAAGACCTCATCCGTGTAAGTGGCAATCAGCTAGAGCTGATGTTCATGTAAATTAAAATACAAAACTACTCTGGAATGTATCCAGGAAGTAGAGGGAGGTAGTAGAAAGGAACAACTGAAAGCATACTTCACTTCATTATACAAATAGAGTCAAGTGGTGGATCTCAGCCAACGTCATAGTTCACTAGCTCACTGCTAGGCAGACTAGGCTAAGATTTTATTATTTTTCCCAACAAGAAATACCTGAAAATAGGAAGATAGAATAAGGAACTAAACAACCGATCATTTGTCTCGATCACCATTGCTAAGTTTGTCTAATCAGGGGCTTCCCTTCTTGAACTTTCATACATGAATGTACATCAATATTAATATTTTCTTCCTTGAAGCATGAAATTTTTGGTATGATAAATTCCATCAGTGAACATGAATCACTCTCATCTCCTTTGAACTTTGAGCTAGAAAATGCATATCCCATTGATTTGTTTGGGGTATCAATTTGTCAAATTAACCTCGATTTGTTTGGGTATCAAATTATCAAAATATAACCTCAGGTGTGTAAAGTTAAAATAACCCTAAAAAGGTTCTATTTTAACAACCTGAAGTACAGTTTAACAATTTGATGCATCAAATTGAGGGGAAAAAAGAATATTAATTTCGTTCAAAAATACGTAACATAGAAAAGTTAATGAGAAACAAACTTTCTTACCAAATTTCAGTTTTTGAGTTTTGGGGGAAATGAGTTACAAGGCTAGGCTTCGATGTCTCAAATTGTCAAATTAGCTGTCAATTTGAAAACTTTGGTGTAACCAGTTATCAAAATAACCCTAAAAAATGTTGTGGAACTAAGCTAGAACCCTAATTCACCAAAACAAACAAAAAAAAGTGGGGAAAAAAAAGCTTACCAATTCCTTCCAAGGACCTCCTCAGCTCGATACCCCGTCCCCTTCTCAAACCCTTCATTCACATAAATAATCGGCTGGTCCGGTTCAATAGCATCAGTAACCACGAGCCCATACGACGCCGACAACGGAACCCCAGGAACAAACCCTCTCCGATCGAAAACCCTAAGCCGCCGCCATCCTCACGCTCGTCGCCAAGCTCCTAATCGTCGGCGACGACGCTGCCGAGGCCGAGGCAGAGGGCTCCTCTCTGTTATTATAGAAGGAAGTAGAAGGAGAGGGGAGAGGGAGGAAGAAGGGTACGGTCACCACCGACTGTGGCGACGGAGGAGGAGATGAGGTGGCACACGGAGGAGAGGATGTGGGAGTTCGGGAAGGGGTCCGGTGAGGAGGAGAGGAGGTGGATGCCGTGGAAGGAGGGGTCAGGGGGTGAGGTTGAGGAGGGAGAGGGAGAGGAGGGGGAGGCGGTGGAGGGAGGAGTAGGAGATTGGAGTTGAAGATTTGGGGGAAATTTTCCGTTTTAGGGATGAAAATTCCAATTTTGGGGGGAAAAGAGGGCGGCTGGGGTTTTGACGGGTTTATTTTTTTTAAATGGTCGGTTATTCTAGACGGAAATTTCCGTCTAGGATGTATTCTAGACGGAAATTTCCGTCTAGAATACCTGATTATTTTTCAAAAAAAATAAAAAATAAAGGAACCGTCTAGGATACTATTCTAGACGGAATTTTCCGTCTAGAATGTATTATTCTAGACGGAATATTCTAGACGGAAAATTTCCGTCTAGTTTAATACATTCTAGACGGAAAAAATTCCGTCTAGAATATTCCGTCTAGAATACGTGATTTTCTACTAGTGACACACACTCTATCTATCAAAGCTTATCGCATTTGGCTGGAGCAAAGGAGAGCTGACCCTTCTCCAAATTATACAACACATGCATATTCTGGGTCTGCACATTCCCAAATATCGATAACCCCGGTGACTCGAGCACCATTAGGCAAAACAACCCCGACTCCTTATCAAACACCATGTAATTCTTCAATGGCATCTCCCAATCCGCGCCTTCAAAATGGAACACCAGTGCTGGAAATCTCGATGGTGGCCTCTTCATTTTATAACACAGCTCAAAGTCCGCAATTCCAGTGGTGTTTACGGGCCGCATTTTAACATGAGACCTGAACGCATCGACAAAAATTAGAGGTTACTTCCATTGAGTATAAAATCAGAGAGAACTAATATCAGTTTGATCATGTGTAGTGAAGACCATTAAGAAGATCATTCAGTACGCTAATTTAGGATAAATAATAAGAGCATCTCCAACAGCTTCCCCAAAAATTTCTCCAAAATGGGGAATCAAATGTCATATTCTCCAAATTATTTTTGCTCCAACTCCAACAGCTTCCCCATTTTGAAGAATCATGCATTTATTACAATAATAAAAATATTCTACATCTTTGACTAATAAATAATAAATTATTTATTATTTTGAAGAATCCCCATTTTGACCAAATTATTTATTATTATAATGAGGAGATGGAGTTGTTTTTTGTGGGTTGAGTCTAGAAGAACGTGAAAAAGTGCTTCCCCAAATATTTGCAGAATGCTGCAGATTTGGGGAAGGCTCTTTATTTTTTCTCTCCTATCCCCATTTTGGGGAATGAGATGGGGAATCTGTTGGACAAAAAAAAAGCTCAAAATTCTCCAAATTTTAGAATACCAAGAAGATGGGGAAGCTGTTAGAGATGCTCTAATGGCTCGTTTGGTATAAGGATAAAGAGAGGTAAAATTTAATCCCAGTAAAATTTAACCTATCGTTATCCATATTTGGCATCATGTCTAAAATTTCACCATGGTTAAAATTTCTCATGTATAAGGGTAAACTTTTGACCAAGTAAGTTGGTAGGATAGCATGCTGTGAAATTTTGCGCTTGGTTCATTTAATAATTTCGGGTTCAAGCAACATCCTCAAAACATTAAAAATGTAAATAGCCCCCGAAAATCTAAACGCTACAAACATCAAGCTCAAATATCAAAATTTACAAAGATACACTTCAACGATTCTCAAATTACATAGACGCCCTACAAACTCGTAATTACTAATCAAAAAATCCTTGAAAATTTCAACACATTCCTTAGATAGGCGCTCACATAGCTTGGTCATCGCCCTCACCCACTTTACTCACCTAGCTATCATCACCAGAACTTCCACCCATTCCTTAGATAGGCTCCTTATTGTCCTTATCCCCATTCTCACAACCGACATGAATTCGCCAACTCTCCGCTCAATTTCCTCAAGAGCGTGAAGTTAGTTGTTCACACGTGGAGGGTAGTTGATAGGGCTAAAATATGTACCAAAAGTTGCAAGTGCACAACTAATCAAGTTATAATATAAAGAGTTATTGATCCCACGATGAAGATGTTTGTAAGAAATTATTAGAATCAGTTTTTATGTTGTGTGCGTGACAATTAGGAGTGATGAAAATTGTGATTGTGGAGAGATATGAGGAGTGTTGTGAATATGTGCAAAAGTCAATGAATGGGATTTTAGACGATAGAAATAAAGAGTGGATGTGATAAAAGAATAAATAAAATCATAAGGAAATAAAAATAAAGGAAATAAAAATGAAGAAACAAATAAGAGAAAATCAAGAGCTAAGGAAAAATTAAGAAAGAAAAGATTGAGGATTCAATTAAAAATATGAGAAATATAGAATTGAATTCTACTAGCTAATTTCAATTACAAAATATGAATTATTCTCTTTTTTATCATATTTTACTTTAGATTTCTTAAGCATAGACTATCAAACCATTTAAGGAAAGTATAACCTATCAAGTTATCATCTAAACAAAATTAATATTCATGACAAGAACAACAACTAGATAATAATTCTAGAATTCATAAGCATAACCTATCAAACCACTCAAGATAAGCATAGATTATCAAATTCTTCTTCTATCAATTAGTTCTCTAGTTGATTATCCTATACATGATTATTTTAAGCATAAGAGAATAATTCATATAATATAAAGGAAATAAAACTAATTTCATGCAATTCTAAGATTCCTACAATAATTAGTTCAATATCTTAAGAAATAAAAGCAAGAAATGAAATAAAAAGAATAAGAACTAATTACAAAGCAAAGAAATAAGAACAAGAAACTTTACACTATGAACAAGAAATAAATCTAACTAAATTACAAAAGAAATAAAAATGTAAGAAAATAAATCTACTTTACAAATTAAAATACAAAATAAAATAAAAACAAGAAAATAAATCTACTCTACAAGACATGAATAAAAATCTAAACTAATAAGCAATAAGAAAGAAATTGCTAAAAAAATAAGAAATAAAAGAGAAAATTAAAATAAAAGCAAACCTCCAAATTGATCTTCATCTCCATCATCATCATCCAACAAAGATATGAGAATTTAAAGTGGTGAAAAAAAATATTTTATTGATTGTAATAAAAAGTTATAATTTTTTGAAGGTCTTCTCAATTAAGAGTAACCATCCTCTCCAAACGGAGTTACAAAATTTTTCACACCCTCAACCCCTCACTCTATACCCCTATTTATAGTAAACATCAATGAATGTGAGCCATTGGATCGAAATCTTATCAAAAACAATCAAATTTCAACCATAAATTCATAATTGTTTCGTCAGCATCGATGGGGGCATCGATGCTGCCATCGATGCTGACATCGATGCCCAGGTGCCACATTTTGCTATCCGCAGATTTCTTCTTTGTTTGGCTTTGGGTTTTTGGCTTTTTGACTTTTAGGCTTGATGCTTGTTTTCTTCATTAATATAATATTTCTGGGCTTTTGATGAGAAAATAGATCTTGGGCTTTATTTTTGATTAACCTGCAATTAAAGATAAAAATAATTATTAGTGGTATATTTATTTATATAAAATAGATAATGAGAGTATAAAATTATAATAAAAATATGATTATCAGTAGTTTAACCACTCAGGGTGGGACTTGAGTTCTAGTTGGAGCTGCCTCACAAACCCAGCCTTACAAGCCAAGGCCATGTCTACCTTCCTAAAAGTATCATTACAATAATTCTTGATGATCTTGTACCGGTAAGCCAAATCATCTTCTCCTTAGTTCCCAATGGAGCCAATCGAGCCCACTCGTAGGCATCATTTCTCTTTCAGGTCTTAGCCTTTAACTATTTCACCTTGCTATCCCATTCATGAATATCACGGTGAAGAGGGCAGAGGCCTTCCTAAAGCTTTTTTTATTGATCGATAGGCCTTAGCAAATTGGTTTGACCATTGGCTACACATGGCAAATAAACCCTTTATCTTCTCATCCTGCTTTTCCATTTCTTGTTCTAGCTGACCTTGACCTCTTCTTAGCACTATTAGCTCACTCTCCTTCATTGCTGCCCTTAAGTTGGGTGCTTCTCGAGCGGCCATCCGCAAATTCCATGTCCTCTCGAACCTTGAAATAGTGCTTTCGTACGTGCACGAACTAGACATATAGTTTATGTTCCACAAGAGCCCCTTGAGCAAGTAGCTCTTAAGGGTTTGATGGAGGCTAAAATCCTAAATCTTACCAAGGATTTTGTCATCATGGGGCAGTAAAAACTGATCTAATGCCATAGCCTAGGTAGCCCTGGGCTTCAAGACTGACACCCTTTCATCAAGTCGATTCCCACAAACTGGTTCTCCTACGACGGCTACTTATCATACCAAGGTTGAGCCTCTACTGACCCTATCAGTATTGTCAACAACTCCTCCCACTTAGCTTGACAAAGCTCATCAATACAGTGGGGGAAGGACCGCTCAAAACTTGCTTCATGTTCTGCCTCAAAAGTGGGACCCTCAGTAGTCGCATCCTAGAGAACTGGGGCCTCTTCACCATTCAACTTATTTCTAGGTCGGTGAGCAAATTTAGCTCAGCTACAAAAAGATTATCACTGCTGTAGGCATCGAAAATTGCCTATAGTTCTCCACAACCGGTTCAGTGTTAATGAACGACGATGAACGTCACTATCCGACCCACATGAGCCTAATCGACGTCGATGAACGATTGAAGTGAATCGACGAGCCACGTGAGCGGATAGGATTTCGGAACAACGAAGACCCGTGCCAATCGGAAGCCCGGCACTGCTCACGAAAAGGACAATGCCCTCCATGCCTCGACCACTCTAAAGACAATCCAACCATCAGAGCGGATCGAACTCTTCGTCACGCATCCAACGCACCCGGAATCACTCAAATCCGAGTTCGTACGAAGAATCTACGGGAGAAATGATCAAATACACCTACGGACGTCTCGGAGTTCCGAAACACCCCCAGGGGTGTCTCAGAAATTCCGAGACACCCCAGGGGTGTCTCGGAATTTCCGAGACACCCTAGGGTGTCTCGGAAAATCCGAGATCGAGGAGTGAGCGAGCCTTCTGCAGCAAAGGAGCCTCCCCCCTTCTTCATTCCCCTTTCTATTTTCCCTTAGTGTTGCCCTTAGCGGTGATACAAAGGAGAGCTAGTGCCTCGTTTTAGCCGAGACATAAGCTTTACACCTCTGAGATCCCACGCGGATCGACGGGGTTCAGAGTTTCTAAAATCCCCCCGCGGATAGACGAAACTCTGCCCGATTTTATCGGACCAGATCTGAGTGCCCCGGTGGTCCACGGATATCAACATCCCCGTCACAGGCAAAAGACCCACGCAAGCAAGAGATGACAAACAGATCTTGCGTTTGTTTGAAAAGAGTTGTATTTCTTTTGTTTTCATTGTGTACCGGTCTTATAAAAAGGCTATCTTTTTATTTCATTGTAACGATTGAAGTTGTAATGAATGCAGCAATGAATACAGCAACTTTTTCCGCAAACAGACTGGCGACCACAGTGGGAGCCAACGGCATCGCAACCGACGCCGTCGTGACGCAACCAGCACTCAAGATCGGGGTGAATGAAGAACACGAGCTCGATCAACAACGGTTCAAAGAAGGCCTCTCTTCCTCCTCCTCCAGATCCGCCTCTCCAAACGGGTACAGAAAGGTAACCTCTTTCATAAATGATTGCAGGTCCTTCGGTTCAAAAATCCAAGACCCCGTTGCCGCCTCTGCACTTGCACCACGTGACGTCCCCGTGTCGTCCAACGTGGTCGAGATCGCAGATCCGGACTCCTCTTCCGCCGAGGAGATGA